AGAAGCTTGCTGAATCTCAAGGCCAAGTGGTTAGTTTAAACCCGATCTCTGTTGTTTATTACCTGGGTGACCTAGAGTAAGGCACTTTACCTCTCTGGGCCTCAGTGTTCCAATCTGGAAAATGAAGGAGTTGGCCTAGATGAGCTCTTAGGTCTCTTCTAATTCAAAATCTCCAATCTTATTAGGATCCATTTTGAGGGACTGCATCGTCATTTTTATTGACGTACTCTTGATATGCAAAATGCAAGCTAAATTTACAGGTTATTTACAGTTACAAATAATTTACAGTTATCTTCCTTCAAGATGCTACCTCAGTCCTTGATGACCTGTCATCTTGTAAATGCCACCAGTAATCTAGTCCGCCAGTATAGCATCAACATGTCCAATGCTCTGTTATCCCGAGTTACTCTTGTGCCTATATCCCATACATTCTCCATAGAGGGTTCACCCAACATGCCAGGGCCCTTCCATTATATCTCTTGATGTTGCATGGGCACTACTGGAATATATGGGCTGGCCACTGGTTATCCTTCACTCTCAGTACATAAATGACTCATACTTTTTTTCTGATTAAACATTTCATTAATAACATGTTTTATTATCACTTTTCTTTTCTAGTTCCTCTTTACAAATAGAGCATACTATAGCATACTTATGCTCACCAAGCAGTTCCCCATTCCACTTTGGGTGACAGAGAATGTTAATTCGTTAGAGATTGGTGACATGCCATGACTCACAGCCAACAAGCATCACCAGAAGAATACTGATTTTTTAAAATGGCACTTGAATTTAGAGAGAAGCTTGGACTCAGGAAAAGCACTTCATGTTTCCTAAATGCAATGAAATTCACTCTCTTCTTTCTGAATTCTTGGTCCAGTGCATGGTATATCTATGGTGTTCATCTAAGATTTATGTACTGATGATTTACCCAGACAAGTTACCCAAATCCTCTTGGGTGACGCTGGCCAGAGAGCATTGATCAAAGGGCTCACTTTTTGTATAGGCTAATTCAGTAAGAAGCCTTTCCCTCCTGTTTGATGACTAGATTAAGGCTTCCTGCCAGGATGCAAAAAGAGACATTTTAAGATAAGAGTACTACCTATCATGATTCAAAAGAAAAGAGTCTTCATATTCAGCCATGTAATATCAGGAAATAAGGCCATTTTTTTAAAATAAGAAAAGTAGTAGTAAAAATCTAAGAAATGGAGGAAAATGTAGGTTGACTGATTTAGCTACTTCCTGGTGGGAGCAGGGATAGGATGCTGGCAATTTGCTGAACCAATAATGCCAAAGCCTCTTTTCTGAAGTAGTTAACACTAACATCTATTTTCATTTCTATTGAAACAATAGGTAGTTAAGTTTTTCAAAGTTGACCTTTTTAAACTTTGTTTTATTTTGTGGTGATGAGAAGTTCTTCCACCACTGTCCATCACAGTGTTTTGATAACTTCATAGATCACCCTTAGTGAGTTGTCCAAAGCTCAGAGAGGTAAAGTCACTTGGTCTGAGTAACGCTGCTGGTAAATGTCACAGATAGGATTTGAACTCAAGTCTCCTTGACTCCAAATGTAATACCATACCCTCTATAGACAATTCAGCCCCTTCTGTTTGAGTGCAAATTCTATCAAATTCTTTTTTAAAAAAATATTAAAACATGGCACCAGTGACCCTTACTTGGATCTTGTTAGCATCTGCACTCTCTAATGCACACAGACAAATGCATGTCTTCAAAACTATGAGGCGATTTTGTAGAACTGTAGAATGTCAGAGCTGGAAAGCGTCTTAAAACACAGAATGTTCAAAATAAAATGTTAGAGCTGAAAAGGGACCTTAGAAGTTCAGAGTATTAAAGCATGATAGAACACAGGCTCATAGATCTAAAGCTAGAAAGGGGTCTTAGTGCAATAATTCCTTGTTTTCAATGATCATTCCTCTTCAAATGATTAACAAAACCATCTATCCAGCATGAATCTCCTGAAACAGCCTCTGACCCATGAACTTGCTTTCTGTTGGAAAGAAGCAATATGAACACAGAAAAAAAAGTCAATCCAAAACTAGTCATGTCAGTGGGGGTTAGAGGGCAGTAACGATTCTTCTGTAGGAGGGGCCCTCGAGCTTTCATTATAGTCCTGGATATCAGCCCATGCAAAGGTGCAGTGGCAGAAGATAGCAGACCCCATATGGAAAGTGGCAAGCAGGGTCCTTTGGCTGGAATACAGACCGTGTAAGCAGGAGCGGTGTCAAATCGGTCTTGGGGTATCAGATGGAGCCAGATCATGAAGGCCTCTAAACGCCAAAGACAGGAGTTTGCATTTTATGTTGGAGACAGTAAGGAGCCACCAGATCTTCTTAAATCAGAAGGTGACATGGCCAGGCCTGTGCTTTGTGAGTTGTGAATAAAATAGACTGGAGGGAGAAAATAATACTGTGAGGGAAAAGCAATTCAGTAGAAGGCCCTCCTCATGTTCCCATTGATTTTTATGGAACCTCTATCTTCCTCTTCACTGAGGTTTGAAATGCATCTTTTCCTCTTGCCTCCCACTTTTCTCCTCTCTCCTCTTCCATACATGCAAAATCTTCCTGTGTTTTCACTCACCTCTTCCTTTTGCACTTCAGCCCTTCTCTTGGAGAAGGCCAAACCTACTGATTGTGCTCTCGATCCCATTCCCCCCCCCCCACCCCTTGCTTCTTCTCTCCAGCTCCCTCATAGTCAATCTCTGCCTATCTAATGGCCTCTTCCCTACTACCCACAGACATGCCTAGATCTTTCCAGGCCTGAAAAATAACAAAAAAGAAAAAGAAAACAAACCTGTCCTTGATCTTTCTATCCCTTCAAACTATTGCTTCATAATTTTCCCTCCAAATTGTTTAGCCTGACATTTACAACCCTCTGCTATCTGGCTTAAAGATGCCTTTCCAGCCTCATTTCCCCTTACTCACCTTCACACAGTCTGTTTTCCAGCCAAATGGACAGCCCACTGTTTTTCAGCTATCTTACCCTGTCCTCCTTCATCTCCATATATTTTATATAGGCCATTTCTCATGCCTGGATCATATACCCTTCAGGTCCCTGCCATCTGAAATCTTTCTCTTCCTTTGAAGTCCAATTCAGCCGCATCCTCCTCCCTTACCACCTTACCCCCGCCCCCAACTGCATTATTGCTCCCGCCTTTGAGGGAGGACTTTCTTTGGATCTTTCTTTGGCCATTGTCCCGTTTTGTCATGTTATATAATCATTTTTATATATGCAATGCCCTGCTTAGTAGGCTATATGCACCTTGAGGAAAGGCAAGGACTATTTCTCTCAGCACCTAGCAGAGTGCCTTGCAAATAATAGGTGCTTAAGAAGTGATGGTTGAATTCAATAACTTATAGCTGGTGCAGCATTCTACAGATTATAACTAATGTCTCCTGTGGGCTGGATTAGTCTTAACTATGCATTTTAAAAGAGGAACCTTGGGTAGGTGAGGTTAAAACAGAAATCAGAGAGTGATGAGCAACTAGTTGGTTGGGTTTTTTTTGTTGTTTGTTCGTTTGTTTTGTTTTTGTGAGAGGCTCCTACAAATAAAGCATATGGCCAGGGAGCGATACTGAGTTGGATACAACAGGATCACAGCTCAATCCTGTACATATAATGGAGAGCTATTTAAAAAAAAGGAAGGAAGGAAAAAACACACTATGCTTCAACTTTAATCTCTAGTCAAACTGTTATGTTCTAATTTAATTTTCTGAAGAAAAGGCATTCATTTGTCAAAATTCACCAAGTGTAATTGAATTTCATTTTTTTCCCTAAACTTTGTCATTTCATTTTCCCCCAGGGAACAAATTTTGCTTGTGCAAACATATTGAGATGAGTAAATCAGCTTCCTGCAAATTGCTGATTTCTTATCATTGCACGCTAAATTAGGTGGACAAATTGAGACCAATGTTTTCCACATGTGTTTTTAAGCAGTGGTAAGATCGTTCTGTCAAAGACGGACTTTCAGATATCTGCTTAGAGATACAGTATCATAGTATTTGTCCTGACTGTCAGAGAGTCTTGTGGTTAGGTTTTAAATTGAAGCCACAGAACGTTCCTAAAATTGATGAAAAAAAGTATTTTCCTTAGAGAGGTTATTGGAACAAGGAAGTTCTTCTGTTTTCCTTTTCGTTGTTGTTGCTATTGGGTTTGTTTGGTTTTTTTACCTCCTCGATAGCTTTGGATTTTCTGACCATTATTATGGTTTAACTTGAAAGAGAAAAAATAGAAAATGATGGGCTGTACACTCAACAAAGAAATGGCTCACTGAAAGGGATAGATGTGCTAGCCTGATCTGGGCTTTAAACTCTTGAATTGGCTGTCAAGCAAAACAGGTACTTGTGAAGTTTTGGGAGCGGCATTGACTCAGGCAGCTTAGGGAACATTCAACATATCTTCATTCATTCATTTATCCATCAATCATCTATTCATTGTCAGGTGCCATTCAAAAATGAAACAGCTTCTGTCCTTAAGGACCTTACGTTCTATTGGGAAAGGGGAAGTAAATACTGTCTGTCTGTCTGTCTGTCTGTCTAAAATTCTGAACCATTTTATAGGGAAGTGGAATGAGAAGGTCACTACCAGCTGGAAGATCAGGCTAGACCTTGTGCAGTAGCTGTCACCTGAGCTGAGCTTTAAAAGGAGCAAAGGGGGAGGCTTTAACAGAGGCAGAGGGTGAGGAGGTAACATGCAGGAAGTATGGGAAGCTAGGCTGGAACCAGATTGAGAAGGGCTCTAAGTGCCAACAAGGGAAGTTTGGATTTTATCCGAGAAGTAATAAAGAGACAGATCTTCTCGAGCTGAAAGTGACATAATCAGACATGTGCTTTAGGGAATACCAACATGGTAGCTGTATGAGTTTTGCATTGGAAGGGGAAGAGATTTATCCATCAGTTAATTCTTGAAATGAGATGAAAACACTTTCTTTTCCAACTGTGCTTTCTTTGATAACATCTTTTTTTTCTAATTTCTCTCCAATGTAGCAAAAAGTACATTAGCTCAAAAGATGAACCTCCTAGGTAAGTCCCATTAAGTTTCTGAATATAAAAATGTACTTGTCAGATACTTCTTATAGTCAGCATGTGTTGATTTGTAAACGAATAAACAGTATAGGAAAGAATATCAGGAAAGTTGTATGACGGTTTGCATTGCCTCTATGGGAATTTTTCTATGGTTACATTGTGGTTAAGTTTTCATTTCTGTTTTGTTTATTAGTTTTTTTAATAAGGGTACACACAACCCATATCTGATCAGTTCCAAAAGTAAATTCACAGTTTGGTTAAGAATTTGCATCAAGAATTAAATTTGTTTCACATTGTCACTAGATTACAGACCTTGGAAAAATAAATAGAGAGGACAAGAAAAATTAAAGCAATCATTTCAACTTACAAAGCATTTAATACTGCCCACTGGGTGCCAGGCACTGGGCAAAGTTCTAAAGACTAAAAAATACTTAGGGCAGGGGGGATGATGTGTACACAAATAAACCAATAAAATTATATACAAACTAGTTCAGGGTGATAGACAGCTAGGGACCTCAGGAAAGGTCTCTTGTAGAAGCTGGTACTTGGGTTGTTCTTTGAAGAAAGCTAAGGATTCTTCTAAGTGTAGGAGCAGAGAGAGAATTCCAGACATTGGGGAAAATCAAACTTGAAAATTCAGGTTTGAATCTCTTATTCTCCCTTCTACCTCCTCTCCACCCCTAAGGTTAAGAAGTAGGACATTAGGTGTGAGGTTCGGTGTCAAGAGGAAAGATGTGGGGATAGTGCAGCCAAATGTCAGAAAGAGGCAATGTGAACAAAAAAGTGAAAGGTGATGTTACATCCCTAAGGCCGGGATGTCAGTCCTGCTTCAGCCAGACCCCCCCCCCCCCCCCCCGCCCCCCCCCCCCCCCTCCGCCCCCCCCCCCCCCCCCCCCCGCCCCGGCTGTGGGTCCACTGAGGCCAGGGGCATGCTGGAGCTAGCTCTAAGCCACTTTGGAGAGCCAGTTGTTCAGTTTCTAATATGAGCATTTACATTCCAGAAATCCACAAATGCATAAAAACCAGGGCTTCCTGTATTACTTTGCTGGTTGTCGATACTTAAGGAATTGTTAATAATTCAAATTTAACTTGAAAGTGTGTGTTGACACTCTTGTTCCCCTCCACACTCACCCACCCCATCCCCAGCACACCCTTAAGACCCTGTCCACTATTCTCTCCTTCTCTGGCTACATCACCTGGTCCCCAGGCCTCAGTTAAACACTCAAATTGCTAATGGAATTTGGAGGTGGGTTCTGAATTTTTTGTTAACAAATGGACTAAGGAATTCTTTGGTTTTACCCTGCTGATGTTATTTTCATCTATGGTTAGTATTATAACCTGGAAATGTGCAACTATAATCACTAAAAGTGCTATTTACTATACTCATCTGGTATAGTCATCTTGTGTTCCAGCACAAGTCATATAAATTAATTAAAATATTGTTCTGATAGACTTTGTAAGTGGAAAGGTGTTAGGGATTTTTTTTTGCATTCTAGTGTGGTGAATTAGCTCAGTATGCAATTCAGATGAATAACAGTGAAAATGAAAGGAGAAACATTTTAAAATGTTACCTTTTCTGACAGATATAAAAGTTGCTGTATTAAAAATAAGAAAGATAAAGCATTTTTTTTATTTTCCCCGCTGTAGCAACACGGAAATCTTACTTGCCTGCTGAGAGTTAGCATGAGCCTCTTAGGACACTTACTATTAGCAAATTAATGATGTGTATGCACCCTTGACAAGAACATTTTAACCTTCCATGAGTATCCTGGAGAGTCATTAAATTGCCTTCCAATTAATCTTGGATCCTGATTATTACTAAGAGGTGAACCTGGTTTGTGTTTTTCTAGAGGCAGTTCTCACTGGTATTCCTCTCCCCCAAGTCCCTTGGGGGACACCTCTGTATAAGTCGCTTCCTTTGCAGGAGATGGGAAGGTCAGAAGGATAAGAGAAGGAATGTATTAGTGGGAGGGGCTGGTCTTTTTTAGGTTCTCTTCAATTGTCCCCATTTGCTTTTTCCCAGAAATAGGAATCTGGTGCTTCAGGTGTGGCTAAGCATATAAAATGTCCTTGTGCCATCCTTGGATAATAATGATGAATAATAAAGTGAGGTCCCTTCCAGCCCCAAAAGAGAAGGATTAGGTACTTCTCTGACTCCTTTGTCTATGTGGTTGGTTACTATGTGGTTGGCTCAACATGGATGCTACCTAAGTGCTGAACTGATGAGGCTGGAGGATGCTGGTGTTGCTCTATGGGAGGCTGTGTTTGCAATGGCTGTGGCCTGGGCTGTATATTTGGGGAGTACACTCCAGAGCAGACCTTGCCTGCCATCTATACCCCAATGTTTGGTCTTGATTGCTGCTTGCTGCCAGGAGCCTCAATGTGGGGACTCTTCAGAATTCTGATTTTACTGGAATAGGAAAAAAAAAGGACAGCAAGGTATTGGCCAGTCAGCTCTCCCCAAGGAGGCCCCTGCATCTGTCTGGGGGGTTCTGTGCTGAGGCCAAACTGTGGCCTGTTCCAGGAAAATGGATCATAGGTACTATTGCTGTTCGTTCGTTTCAGTTGTGTCCGACTCTTAGTGACCCCGTTTAGGGTTTTCTTGGCAAAGATACAGGAGTGGTTTGACATTTGCTTCTCCAGCTCATTTTACGGATGGGGAAACTGAGGCAAACAGGATTAAGTGACTTGTCCAGGGTCATAGAGCTAATAAGTATCTGAGGTCCCATTTGAACTCAGGTCTTCCTAATTCCAGGCCCGTCTCTCTGTGTATCCACTGCACCTCCTACTTGCTCCATCATAGGTATACTCACTGATATTTTAAGGGCCAATGAAAAATAAAACAGATGGGCTGTCCAATGCCTGTTGCTGTGTCTTAAACTACAGAGTAATCACTTAGCTCTGCAGCCTTGCGCTTTTGAAGTAGCCCAGCATATAATTCACCAGCGTCTCTGGAAGCCTATAGCTAATGAGAGATGCTACAATGGTGTCTTTTATCATTATGCTCTTCTGATAGTGAGTGGGCAAATTAGGAAAGGGATGGTAATCCATGGCCTCAGTGCACTTGGAGTGAGGTCAGAAAGCTTTTCTGGAATAAGTGTGGTGAGGAGAGGTGCCAAGCAGCTCAGAGTCCCAACTCGCCCCACCCCACCCCCACATCCAAGCACGCACCCAGTGGGAGAATAACACCAAAGGCAGTGGGTAGCTACATTAGGGGTAAGTGCAACCCTTGCTTGGCAGTCTTGGGGCAGGAAGGTAGCAATTTTCACATCTGCCGCTCATCTGATAATGATTCCCACCCACTCCCCCCAGCCCTTATCTTGCATTTACTTCTCTGCTTACATGTTGAACCCATCCTCAACGGCAGAGGCTGGTTTCATTTTGTCTCTCTATCCCTAGCACTTTGAATACAGTAACACTGTATTAAGTATGTGTAAATCCACGTAATGCCCACAATACAGCCGCGTCTAGCCAAAGAGTACGGTTAAGCAAACAAAGCAGCCCATTGGCCACATCTCCTAATCCTGTAGGCTACCACCTTTCCTCCAAAAAGAGGAAGGCATACTTCCCTATTGGGGAGTACAAAGCAAGCGAGAATGTGGAACAGCCCTGTCAAGGGTTCTGATTGGTCCAAGGGCATGTGAGGAATCGGTATGGATTAATCCCTGAGTCCTTCCCATCGTCAGTGCTGCAGGGCAGCTGGGACGTTGGAAAGTGACAGAGGGCTGTATGTGGGCTCCAAGGTGAGGAACAGAGTAGAAGGCAGAACGTTAAGAAACTGGGAGCCATGTGGACGATGAATGTGCTCATTGTGTTTGTTCCTGCTGTGAGATTTCCGTTTGAATTCGATTCCTCACAACTTCCCTGGACCCTGGACTCCTGTAGCTGTTTTGATTGTTTTCCTCCTTGCACTAGGTAGTTGTATTTCATGCCAATAACAAGTACAGTGTGAGACCAAATCCAAAGCAAAGTGAGTTCAGTGCTCTAGGAAGTTTGCTCACTAAAAGTCAGAATCCAACTTCTTTAAACATAAACTCTTATGTTTCACTGATCTTCAAAGATCTATCTATGCATCTGTACTGAAGCTGTCTCTCCATAAAACCTAAGCCAGATGTCAGACAGACCCCAGAGACCACAGTTTGCTCTCAATACCCTGAAAAGAAATGACAAGGCCAATGGTGCTCTGCTGTATGGGAAAAGGCTTCAGTGACCAGGAAAAGTGTGATGAGTGATAGCCAGCTGTGAGGCTAGGGACAGGAGCCTGGAGAAGCCTTCCTAGACTGGGACCCAGGAGCATCCAAATAGCCTGGACTTTTTAAAAGCCGTGGCACAAACTTCAGGAATAGCTTGGGAAGAACTGTTTGAGTCCACATTAAAACTGATTTTGCCTTCAGAAAGAAGAAAGATTTGGGTAAAGCGTGAGTGAGCATCATGCCATTCATATCTTTTTTCTTTTTTAAAGTATACTTTCAGCAATTTCTAGAATCATCACTGAAATTCTATTAAAAATGTAAAAGTAGGGAGAAGGAGACCTGGAACAATACATACTGTTTATAGAGCTAAATTTCAAGAATGCCAGGGTCCTTTAGGAACCACGTACTCAAGAAGATAAGTGGAGAGCATTAGCATGCCTGTCCCCTTTCATAACACTGCCTTGTCTGAGTTGTATATGCCCAACATCTCCAGGGGCCTGAGGTCTGGATGGTTTTTATTAAGATGGCTCATTCAATTCAGTAAGCCTCTACTAAGCCCCTCCTCTGAGTCAGGACTCATCATCTACTTGGGGGATCCAAAAACCAAAAAGGAGACAATTATTGCCTTCAGGGAGTTTACATTCTACTGGAGGAGGGAGAGCGATGAGCAAGCAAAGTAATTCCAAAATATATACATCAATAAGCATTCATCTGATGTGTGCCACCATACAGTACCTGTCATTTCACCAGTTGCCTTTAGCATCATGGAATATGTGCTTATTGGAAAATGCAAAGTCTTAATTG